TTAATGTTTTTTTTGCCAACTTCCGACCGGCGTGTAATTCGGGCATGTCTTTCTACAGGAGGAATAATTCAAATATCGTCAAAATATAGTTCGGGCGATTGTTCTATTATTTTTGAATATGGTTGGATGTGTGTTTAATTCGCTCTTCCAAAGTCCGCCTGTAGGAGGACATGCCCGACCTAAATCGAATGGCCTTCGGCCCATCCCGCCACCGTGCCTGGGTTGTGAGTCCTAGGCCTGTAGGATGTTCGTTGGGATGTCGTGGGAGGCCGCTCAGGAGCCCCATGTGGAAACAGTGTTGGAGTCTTCTGGTGGCCGTGTTGGGGCATCCTTTGGGCCTCTTTGGGATCTCTTGGGGGCCTCTTGGAGCCTCTTGGGGCCCTGGGGCGCACAGCTCGAAGTTTCAGTTCGTGGTCACCCTCTTGGGACCCCTCTCGGGACCGTATTTAGGCCGTCTTGGGCACCTCTTGGGCAGTCTTGTGACCCTCCTGGGCCGCTTTGAGGCCGCCTTGGCGGCCTTTTTCGCCCGTCTTTGGGCGACTTTTGGGGCCTCTTGGGCTGTCTTCGAGCGTAGGAAAACCGAGACGGCGAAAAGACCAAACATGTGCAAAAACCAATGGAACATCCATGATGTTGGCCTTTTTTCTGGCATTCTTCAGAACACTCTTGGACGCCTCTTGGGGAGTCTTGGAGGCCTCTTGAACCGTCTTGGGGCCATCGTGGGCGTCTTGGAGCGATCTTGGACGTCTCGTCTCTTGGGGCTATATAAGCCCGTCTTGGGGCCCTATTGGGCCCGAAACAGTCAAGCCGGGAGGTGCGGGAAGCCCCCATACAAGCCGCGGCAAGCCTTGGGAGGTTTGGTAATTTGGGCTCCGTGCCCCTCAAAAACTCTTCAGGATTGAGGACTGAGGCTTAAGGGAGTAGGGAAATGATCCTAGGACACGCCCATTCCGTGCCCAGAGGCACGGTGACGGAGACTGCCAATGTTTTGAAGGAAAAAAAAGAGTGTTGTTTAATACATTTTCGGCCTCTGGATCCTCACCCTTTTCGCCCAGGGTGGGCGGGGAAGGGCGAAGCGGGGAGGCTGGGAAAGGGGGGCGTGCATGCTGCTGCATGCAGTCGGTTTCGGGGCCCTCGCATGCCCGAAGCACCCGGCCATCTTAAAGAAGATGGTGGTTTGGAGGGTTGAACGGTGGAGCATATCTTTCTGAGGTTAGATTTTACGGAGCGTGAAAATGACCACAGCCACTGCTTTTCTTTTGTTGCCACCTTCCAGCCCGCAGAAACAAAGCAGTGGTTGTGGTCATTTTCGTTGAGCTTGATACCAGGGAAATGACCACAACCACTGCTTCTTTTTCGGCCAGCTGGAAGGCGGCGCAAACAAGAAGCAATGGCTGTGGTAATTTTCCCGTCCCGCAGATTTGTGGTTAAAAGGACTGCGACGAACAGTTATCTTTCAGAGTAAAGTTGGGGGAGGGGTTGAATCTTGGGGCGAAGCCAGGGTTGAAGGGTGGGGGTGGTTAATCCCGCCTTGGCCTTGCATGAGCTTCGTAGGTGGCCTGGATCAGTTCCCCCGACAATTGGGTGGTTCCCATGTTCGGAGAGTCAGTTCTCAACCGGATCACCACACAAGCCCTAAACCCTCCGCTTCCTCCTCATTATCCTCTTTCTCCTCCTCATCCTGTTCATTCGCCTCCTTAGGATTATCCTCTTCTTTCTCCCTCTTCTTCCTTCTCTTCCTGGGTCCAATCCTTGGCGCAGTCATCATCCTTCCATGGGGCCAGTCTTCGGCGAATGCCTTGGTCCTCACTCCATGGGCCATTCCGTGGCGCATTCCTTGGTCTTCCCCCCATGGGGTCATTCCTTGCATTTGCCAATTCTGCATGGTGGTCAGCGCACGTGGGGCGTGGATGATACAGCACGGGGTAATTAGAAGGAAGCAAGCTCGAGCTAGCAGCGCCGCGTCTCTATGACATCTATTTCATCTCCGTAGCTGGGCGTGGATATCATTCTTGGCGGGTTTACGTTGGACTGTACAGTGCCGTTTTTTATACATGCTCCGCGTGCGGATCATGCTTGAAAAATGCAGGGATTTTGTATTACAACCGAGGATGAGTTCATGCACAAATTTATTCATAAATCACTCATGTATGAAAAGTCAGATATTTTTTAAACATCCGATGTATCAAAAACTGCCCTGTAGTTCGCAACGCGAAATGGGCAGTGTGGCATGGTTCTTCTCTCGCTGCCCAAGCGTGGCCACGCGACGAGTGAAGTCGAAGAGGCAGGCGTCTTCTGCCAGGCTGCGATGCCGCGTGACGGGTAGAGTGGAATGGTACGCTCTCCGGCCCGCAGCGTCGCCATTTGGCGAGTATAGTATTATGTTGGGCGTGTCCCTCTACAGGGGGATTTCGACGGAAAAAAAAAATACCCCAAAAAGGTCAAAACATACCCCGCACATAGTCCCCTGACTATTTTTTCTTGTTCGTCGAAAATCCCCCTGTAGGGGGACAGGCCCGACTTAAGTATAGTATAATTGTTGGTGTTCCGCTCGCTGCGTGGCTACGCTAACGTCTCGCCCCTCGATCGTTGCCACGTTACGAGTAGAGGTTTGGTTCTGTCATTCCCTAGGCGTTGCCACGTGACGAGTAAAGTCGAAGAGTCGTTGTTGACGCCTTGCTGCACTGCCGCTTGGCAAGTGCAATGGAGTAATAGTTGTTTCGCCCCCAAGGTGATGCCGCACGACAATTCGAGTGGAATAATGTGTTTCCCGCCCCGCGTGAGTCGGACGGAATGGTATGTGTTTTCGGCCCGTTGCGAGGACACTTGGCGGGTGTAATGGAATTATACGAGTTTCGCCGCGAAGGCGTTGCCGCGTGACGACTAGAGTGCATTGTTTTTGTTTCAGCACGCTGCATTGGCGAGTGTAGTAGAATGTCATGGTTTCTGCCGCGTTGCTTTGCCACGTAACGACCAGAACGGAATCGTCTTGAATCGCCTCTCGGGCGTTGCTGTGCCGAGTAGAACGGCATGGTATTTCTTTCGCTCTCCAGGCGTGACCACGTGATTAGTAATGTCGAATCGGTGTTTTTGTCCGCCACAATGCGTGCCACGTGGCGCTTGCAATTCCCGGATAGCTACTTGAGAGTTGTGAAGGGTCTTAGAGTAGAAGCCGACAGGCAGGGGTTGGTCAGTTTCCTCTCCACGGCTGTTGGTCAGGCATTCCCGCAGCGAGTTATTTGAAGTTGTAGCGTGTCCCAGAACCATTTCCCGATTCGTTTCCAATACATGTGCCGCAAGTTTTTGCACCAGTTCCTTCGTTGTGTTTCCTAGGCTCGCTCGCAGCTCCCATTTCAAGCTTGCAAGGTCCCTGGGCAGTATTCAAAGTTTCCCTGCAAGCGTCTGCCACAAGCCTTCGGGCTGCTCGGTTTCTTCCTGTTGCGCACCAGACTGCAGTGCCATCCGGGTTTGGGAGTGCACAAGCAGAACAGCACTTGTTCCGACACCCAGGCGTTGCCGCGTGACGAGTCCAGTGGGATGTTTTGTTTTCGGGCCCGCTGCGAGGCCACTTGGCGGGCGCAGTGGAATGGCATGCGTTTCGCCGCTAAGGCATTGCCGCTTGACGAGCAGGGTGCAATGGTCCCTTTCCAGCCCGCTAGGTTGTCGGTTGGAATCAAGTCGTATGTGTTCCGCCGCGCTGCGTTGCCACGTGGTGACTATAAAACAATCGTTTCGTTTCGCCTCTCGGGCGTTGCCACGTGCCGAGCAGAGCGGCATGGTCTTTGCGTTCGCTCCCCAGGCGTCCCCACGCGACGAGTCCATTCTGATAAGCGTTGTTTCCGCCACGCTGCGATACCACGCGGCGCCTGCAACGGAATAATCACTGCTCCGCCCCCCCGGCGCTGCCACGTGACGAGCCGAGTGCAATTGAATGTTGTCCGGCCACTTGCGTTGGCGCCCTCGGGCGTTGCCACGTGCCGAGCAGAGTAGCATGTTTTGTTGTTCGCCCCGCTGCGCGGCTACATGACAGGTAATGTCGAGCAGGCGTTTTGGTTTCCGGCGCTCTGCGTTGAGGAGCCCGGCTTGGGGCTCTCCCCTCCAGTTATGACGTTCCAACCTAATTTAGCCCTGATCACGAGAAAAAAAATCGAGCACCAAGAAAGTACCGAAAGGGGAGGGTGTTCACGTGTCGGGCCCTGGGAGGCGATTCTCGGTCGACATTGTTCCGATCTTTTTTGGGTGCTCGAACTTATTTCTAGGGTGCGGTCCGTAAGTACGATGGGAGCAACGTAAGCCTCCAGACGCAGAGGAGGATCAGCGTGCGTTTGTCTTCTTTCCGGTGCTTCGCCTCTTTCCTTGTCCCCCTAGCCGCCTGCCTCTGGCGCCCCCCTCTCTCTCTTCGACCATCTCCCCATCTCCTGCCCTTCCCCTTTTTTCGGGGGGCGGCCCAGAGGGGGGTGATGACCAGAAGGCTGCGGATCTCATGGCCAGGGCCATGACATCTCCCAGATGGCGGGACGCCCTCTTCTTGCTGCAGTGCGGTCCCCCGTCCGCGCACATGCCGCGGGCGGCCACGGTCTGCGAAGCCCCCTCTTGGACGCCCCCGTCTTGGACGCCCCAGGCATTCTTGCAGGGACATGCCACAGCGATGTTTTTTTGTTAGGTGTTGGCCCTCGTGTTGTTGTTCGTGTTGTTCTTCGTTGCGTTTCCGTTGCCTTGTTCGTTCTTGTTCTAAACGCGTTTGAATTTCAACGTGTTTGATTTTTGAACGTTTCCACGCGTTTTTTAAACAACAAAAAGAGGAATGCATATTGTGTTCCTCCTCTCTTCCCGCGGCCTGGGCTCCAGGTTGACCAGTTCTACTGGGAGCTCTTCCGTGGGCTGGACGGCCCAAAGGGCACGCGACGGTGGGGCGTGGTGCAGGCCCATCGGGCGGCGACGTCACCGGGGAGGAAGTGGAAGAGGAGCAGGAGGAGGACAGACAGGAGGAGGAGCAGGAG